CTGGCGGCCCCCTGTTTACCGTGCGCCCCTGGCGAGGTCTCACAGTGGAGAGGCGGGCAAGCGGATGCTTCCCACTCGGTGGCAACTCACGGGAGCCGCCGATACCATCTTGTCGGCTCTTGCGAATCGACGCTCAATCGGCGCCAAATCGACGCTGAGTCGACGCTAACCGACGCTGAATCGGCGCTGTCTCATCGACTCCAGACGCGAATCTACGCTAATCGACGCTAAAGACGGAATTAAGAGGGCATACCAGGCTCCCATGAGTTGCCACCGAATTCCCACGAGCTCAGCTCGCAACAGAATGCCTGGCACCGCGCGCAGCCCAGACAGCGACACGGTGCAGTCCTTGCAGTGCAGCATACGCGCCACGGGAGGTTGCAGCCTACGCGGTGCAGTCTCCGCGGAACAGCGGAAGTACACGTCGTTAAGTTCTAATCGTGCTCATTTCAAATTGTGCTCGTTTCTAAATGTTCCTGGCCCCCTAGTGACCAGGAAGAGGCCCAGGACAAAACAATTGGACATGAAAGGATAGTGGCCCCCCCAAAAAAAACAATTAGCCTGGCGAAGGACCCAACCATATGCAGTTGAGAGTACCGCAATTGTGAATATCTTATTCGGTGGCGCTCCCTATGGGGCCACGAGCCGTATGAGGGGTGTGCTGAAATGCGTGGCAGTGTACACAACACGAACGAAGACGATAGGTCCGAATATGAAAGCTTGAGCGCGTGCGAGTCGGATCGCGAGCGAGTCTGATTATGAATGAATCTGCGCGCGATTGATTCTATTCGCATGAATGCGTGCATGGATACGCCCAGTGTAAATGTATGTATACGACTGTGAACAGTTTGGGTCTGCGTGACTCTCGGTACTCGTGACTCTGAGCGTCGCCTCTGCAGGGGGCTTCCCTGGGAACCCCGACGGCAGCGCCCGCGCGCCGCGACGCCCATGTCGGCACGCCACACACCTGGTGTGCGGGACGCATGCGGACGGCAGCACTGGGGCCTTCGGTGGAGCTCCCTGTGGGGCCACGAAACGTGTGAGGGGTGTGCCGAAATGGGTGTGCGGGACGCATGCGGACGGCAGCACTGGGGCCTTCGGTGGAGCTCCCTGTGGGGCCACGAAACGTGTGAGGGGTGTGCCGAAATGGGTGTGCGGGACGCATGCGGACGGCAGCCATGGGGCCTTCGGTGGAGCTCCCTATGGGGCCACGAAACGTGTGAGGGGTGTGCCGAAATGGGTGTGCGGGACGCATGCGGACGGCAGCACTGGGGCCTTCGGTGGAGCTCCCTGTGGGGCCACGAAACGTGTGAGGGGTGTGCCGAAATGGGTGTGCGGGACGCATGCGGACGGCAGCCATGGGGCCTTCGGTGGAGCTCCCTATGGGGCCACGAAACGTGTGAGGGGTGTGCCGAAATGGGTGTGCGGGACGCATGCGGACGGCAGCACTGGGGCCTTCGGTGGAGCTCCCTGTGGGGCCACGAAACGTGTGAGGGGTGTGCCGAAATGGGTGTGCGGGACGCATGCGGACGGCAGCACTGGGGCCTTCGGTGGAGCTCCCTGTGGGGCCACGAAACGTGTGAGGGGTGTGCCGAAATGGGTGTGCGGGACGCATGCGGACGGCAGCACTGGGGCCTTCGGTGGAGCTCCCTGTGGGGCCACGAAACGTGTGAGGGGTGTGCCGAAATGGGTGTGCGGGACGCATGCGGACGGCAGCCATGGGGCCTTCGGTGGAGCTCCCTATGGGGCCACGAAACGTGTGAGGGGTGTGCCGAAATGGGTGTGCGGGACGCATGCGGACGGCAGCACTGGGGCCTTCGGTGGAGCTCCCTGTGGGGCCACGAAACGTGTGAGGGGTGTGCCGAAATGGGTGTGCGGGACGCATGCGGACGGCAGCCATGGGGCCTTCGGTGGAGCTCCCTATGGGGCCACGAAACGTGTGAGGGGTGTGCCGAAATGGGTGTGCGGGACGCATGCGGACGGCAGCACTGGGGCCTTCGGTGGAGCTCCCTGTGGGGCCACGAAACGTGTGAGGGGTGTGCCGAAATGGGTGTGCGGGACGCATGCGGACGGCAGCCATGGGGCCTTCGGTGGAGCTCCCTATGGGGCCACGAAACGTGTGAGGGGTGTGCCGAAATGGGTGTGCGGGACGCATGCGGACGGCAGCACTGGGGCCTTCGGTGGAGCTCCCTGTGGGGCCACGAAACGTGTGAGGGGTGTGCCGAAATGGGTGTGCGGGACGCATGCGGACGGCAGCCATGGGGCCTTCGGTGGAGCTCCCTATGGGGCCACGAAACGTGTGAGGGGTGTGCCGAAATGGGTGTGCGGGACGCATGCGGACGGCAGCACTGGGGCCTTCGGTGGAGCTCCCTGTGGGGCCACGAAACGTGTGAGGGGTGTGCCGAAATGGGTGTGCGGGACGCATGCGGACGGCAGCCATGGGGCCTTCGGTGGAGCTCCCTATGGGGCCACGAAACGTGTGAGGGGTGTGCCGAAATGGGTGTGCGGGACGCATGCGGACGGCAGCACTGGGGCTTTCGGTGGAGCTCCCTGTGGGGCCACGAAACGTGTGAGGGGTGTGCCGAAATGGGTGTGCGAGACGCATGCGGACGGCAGCCATGGGGCCTTCGGTGGAGCTCCCTATGGGGCTACGAAACGCTGTACTGGGCGGGTGAAACGCAAGGAAGAGGGGGAGGAGGGAGAGGAGGCGGAGGAGGAGGAAGGAGGAAGGAGACGCGGGGCACCGTCTCTTCAAAACGAGGACCCAACACCACAGGATGGTTGGGAAATAACGTTCGAAGATTCTGTTTTTTTTTAAGGAACCATGTGTACGCATGAAGTCGGCATGGTTCAGCAGGAAGCCAAGAATCCGTGGGGACGGACGGGGCCATCACGGAGGAGGGCGGCGTGCAGGGTCGGCGAGGGGGACGCCACACGCGCTGCTCTCGTCGCGGGCCCGTCGCTCGCGCAGGTCGGTCGGGCAGGCACGGGGCAGCTGTGAAGAAAGCCGATGCAGTGCAAGGGAGGCAGAAGTCATACAAAAGTTGAGAACCCGAGCGGCCACCGCGCAGAGCCCAGCGACCTGGGCCAGCTGAGGGAGACGCCACGGTAGCCCGAGCATCTGAGATGATTGCTGCGCTTTCGTGTGGAATGCATATGGGCGCCTGCACCTCGGAAACCAATTCGTCCAGCGGTTTGGTGACTCATATCCGTACATTGCGCATCTGCGTGCGTACGTGCGGCGCTGGGCGTCCAATACGATGACACTGCGGCGGTCCTTCATGGCATCATAATTCAAGAGCTGATGTCGCCGTGTGGTTTCCGTTCTGTCGCATGCGACAGTGAAGAGCTCAGCCTTGTAGTTATAGAACTTGTTGTGCTTCTATACCGCCCGCGTTGGTTCTGGACTTTCGTTTGCGCTGTAGAACTCGCTTAGACGTTCTAGAACAACATTTGCTGAGTGGGAAAGCACCCTGGCAAAACACCCAATCGTATGCATATGTAAATGGCGCAGCTGTGAGAGTCGTCCTCAGCGGCGCTCCCTGTGAAGCCACGAAACGTGTGAGGGGTGTGCCGAAATGGGGCGGAGGGGGGACGCATGTGAACCCTGCCACTCTGGTCTTCGGTGGAGCTCCCTACGAGGGCACGAAAAGTGTGAGGGGTGTGCCGAAATGCGGCGTGGGGACGCACGTGGACCCTGCCTCTGGGGCCTTCGGTGGAGCTCCCAATAGGGGCACGAAGCGTGTGAGGGGTATGCAGAAATGGGCGGGGGGACGCATGCGCACCCTGCCACTGCGACCTCCAGTGGAGCCCCATGTGGGGCCACGAAGCGTGTGAGGGGTATGCGATTCACCAGACTCCCGGTCCGGTTGAATCGCGACTGGGTGAATTAAGCCATGGTGAGTTAAGCACTGGGTGAGTTAGGCCGGGTAGGCACCGGATGGGTGAGATAGGCACCGGGTGAGTTAGGGACGGGGTGAGTTAGGCACCGGATGGGTGAGTTAAGCACCGAGTAAGTTAAGCACCGGATGAGTTAAGCACTGGGTGAGTTAGGCACCAGGTGAGTTGCACGCTGTGAGTCAGGCCCTGGAGACGTAGGCGCTGGGCGATGTAGGCACGGGGTGAATTAGGCAACGGTCGAGTCAGGCACAAGGTGAGTTAGGCACTGGGTGAGTTAGGCATTGGGTGAGTTAGGCACCGGGTGATCTAGGCGCCGGGTGAGTTACAGTCAACCCGTAGAACAAGGACGCGCGGTACGGATGCAAGGGTCTTGGAAGGCCATGTCGACACTTCGCGAGCGGGGCGAGGCCAACAAAAGCGGCCAAGGATGGACCGAGGAGGCAAGGATGAAAGAGTACCCTTAGAAAGATTGTGCATCCTTACTACGCGGGTTGACCGTAAGCACCGGGTGAAGGAGGCACCTGGTGAGTTGAGCACCTGGTGTTTCAGGCACCAGATTAAATAAGCACTGGGTGAGTTAGGCACTGGGTGAAGTAGGCACCGGGTGAGTTAGTCACCGGGTGAGTTAGCGACAGGGTGAAATAGGCACGGGGTGATTTAACGACCAGGTGAGCTAGGCGCTGGGTGAATTAGGCACCGGGTGAGTTAGGCATCGGGTGAGTTAGGCACCAGGTGAATTTGACACCAGGTGAGTTTGGCACCAGGTGGGCTTGGTACCGGGTGAGTTAGGTATCCAGGTGAGTTAGGCATCGGGTGAGTTAGGCACCAGGAGCGTTTGACACCAGGTGAATTTGACACCAGGTGAGTTTGGCACCAGGTGGGTTTGGCACCGGGTGAGTTAGGCATCCTGTACCGCGTCTCCTGCCTGTGCCATTGCGGCTTTTCCTCTTCCACTGTGGGCTACCCTGTTTGGCAAATTAGCCTGGCGAAGGACCCAACCATATGCACTTGTGCGTACCGCAATTGTGAATACCTTCTTCGGTGGCGCTCCCGATGGGACCTCGAACCCTGTCAGGGGCGCGCCGACATGGGTGCGGCGG